TTTGTGATTCTCGAAATGAAGACCACTGATATTGTGTTTTCCTTTTTTGGGAGGGTCGGAAAATTAGATATTTATTTATTTCAAATGGCAGGCGTTATGATAGGTATCATTAGCCCTTTAGTTGACTTCGTGCTTCACAGAAAGGAAGAGGAACACCAAAGTGGCAAAAAGTCGAGAGGGGGGGGGGACAGAATAATGATTCACTGACGTAAAAGAGATAGACAGACACAAAGGTAGAAAAAAGGTGCGTACTGTGGAATTAGTCGAAAATGAAATGCGGTGGGGTCTTGGTAGTTTGAAGTCAGAAGTCAAATGCCAGTTAATAGACTTTTTTGCCGTATGAGAATACGTTGCCCAGGGTGCATCACGAGGAGGTAAGTCTGTCGCACACGCCGAAAATTAGATATAATGCACTGAATATCGGTATTCCCCCCATATGTATTTATTGGAACGGGATTCTCGCCTATTATGCTAGTTTTTTAAGCAGAAGAATTTTTAAATCTGATTCCAAATGGGTCTAAGGGACTTGATCTACTTTCCTATCACGTCATAGAAACAGAGCAATTAAGTTGTATATTTGAAACGGTTAGTCCGATCCAAATAAATTGACCCTACGCCATTCATAAACCATATTACTCCCTGGGTTAAGTGAGGAGGCCCTTTCCAACACTTCTCGGTTGTGAAGGTAGCATCACTTAACATCGTGAGAAACTCGAGTTCTGCTAACCTTCTTTTATAGCCATACATGACTAATGCGGTTTACATATGACGTCACAGAGAACCACGGTTATTGAGACTACTAGTTGACATGCTCAGATTCTAAGCACAAACTAATTACTGCAGCGAAGTCGCTTATCCAAAGATCTATCGAAATAGGTACATATTTTAGTTTTTTCCTCGGATGTCAGCCTTATTTGTGCAATCAGTTGTTTCTCTAATTTCGATCCATGGCTATAATCGATTTCGTTTAGCCTTGCAAATGCCTCGTCCTTTTACCGTGGAACTGGGGTACATTTCAGTAAGGAAGACTTTAAAACAATATCCTGGAATAAATACATCCCCCCCCCATACATGGAGTATTCCTGACGCACTTTGCAGAGAAACATTCGTTCATTTTTCTCATATGTGCTAAGGGTGTTCACGCCCACTACACTTCCTTTAGCAGTTTAAACCCTTCTTTATTCATATATGCGATGACAACGAAATGGATTATAATCGAAATTCACCTGAGTCATAGAAGAAAATAACTTGTTTTGTAATTATTTGTACTGGACAACAAAAAGGAGATTTTGGTGACTGCTCAAAGCTCTGTAAGCACTGTACAAGTAAAGCACCATAAACTGGAGAAATTCAGTGGACACAAGGTGCTACTATGATTAGAAGGAACCTGGTAGACAATCTGATCAGATCACACTCAGGAAATCTGTTGAAAAGTGTTGGATCATACTGGTAGAGGAATTCGTTCATTTCATGAATGCTTCAGCCTCTACCAAGAAACGTGCACTCAACTGATTCTCTTGGAAAATGGCCACGAAAATGGTCTGACAAAGGCGATGTAACTTACGGGCAAAGTGAGGCAACCTGCTGAAGTACAAACAATATGGTTCTTTTCCGATGGAGAAATCTGTGCCAATGTGATAGGTATGGCTCATAGATGGCTCGGTTTATGCACAGTCCAAAGGCCACTTCTTGGTCATGATGAATAAATGTTCATAAATCGCCATGGCTTTTGGACGTGTGACCTCAACCACCGAGGGTGATATGTGATACCTCTTCGCATCATTTTTAGAAGGGGCTAAGATTCAAGTCAGCTGTTTGAATGAAATCGTTGGCCACTGTAGTAATAGGTCATATGCATGGTGGTAGCAGAGTTCGACCCACTTACACTTCAGGGAAAAGTCAAATCCAGTTACCAGTCAATTTTTGGCCTCCGAACTGTCACGAACCTGCTAAAGATTGGGGTTGCAATAGACGGTAATTGCAGCTATTTTGAGTATGATTTTTTTAAAATTTAATAAATGTTCCACTTAACAATCCCTTTTTTGACCTGATGACTGTCAGATTTACCCCGAGCACCCACTTCAATAGCAAATAGCATAGTACAAGTCATAAAGCACGTTGGCGCTGAAAAATACGGACCAGACTAATCAACAGAGAAGCACTTGTAAGCATAATTGATGCACTCAACATGAACGCCACGCATTGAGTCAGAATAGAGGCCGTTGTAGTAGCTTGCCCTCAGCGTAGTAAAGTCCCAGGACCTCTTTTCTGTAAGGTATTATTCAATAAGAAATTAATTCGTTCCTCCTCCTATCAATGGATTTCAAATGACTTTGCCTCACCACAAGACCAACACGATTTTACTTCCATATCCACAAATTCATTTATACAAAACGCATTTAATTTATTACAAACTCGGACACATACATAATTCTTATGCAAGTGCAGCCAAATGCGATGGCATAAATGGACGAATACTTTTTTGTAAATGGCAGACGACAGATTTTCGGAGGTTGATTGAGGGATTTGCATGGAAAGGGGGGGATACGGGAGGAAGAAAAACCTAAAATGGGAAAAAAGGAGGGGGAGGGGGGAGAGAGAAAGGAGGATGAAAACCTGCGTATCAAAAACCTATAAAAAATCCCGAAATGGCAATCATCTGCGTGAACGAAGAGGGCCGGAACGGGAACGCGAACGCGAGGAGGGGCCACGACGACCACGACCGCCACCACGGCTGTCACCTCTACGACCACCACGCCAGCCAGCATCACCGCGACGTCCACGACGTCTCGTTGATGATCTAGATCTCGAGCTTCTAGATGAAGAGCTGGACGATCTGGAAGTACTTCCTGATGATGACGATGAGGCGGATGAAGTCGCTGAAGAAGATCCACTTGATGTGGAAGTTGATGTGCGACGGCGTCTAGACATCGTTGGTCTTCCACCGACGCCACCACGACTGGTGGCACGTTGCGGTGGGCGTGATGTGGTGTCTTTCATCTGCTCAGATAGTTTAGACTCACCACCACCAGTAGTTTTCGGCCGAGTGGAATCAAGTGGGCTTCTTGAGCGTCTATCGCGTTTCGGTAGAGGGCCTTGAAGATAAAGTAAACCGAGCTCAATAATTCAAAAACCAGGCCAACAGCAATAAGCTCCAAAAGAACTCCTTTTACTTAGCCTTAAACCATTCAAATTGAAATTTGCAGATAGTGTGCAAAACGAAGGATAGGGGAATATAATCTTTTGCAAATCTCACCTTTCACTACACCACTGGCCTCCCTTAAATACAACCCACACAAAGAACCTGGTTCAATGTATAGCTTTAACATAGGCCAGTACTCCTCGCAAGGCGTACATGACACACCTTTCTATTTCTTATACACTGAAACGCATAGCTAGAACCACTGATTAGGAAAACCCAATGCTATAAATGCAATAAATAGAAAAAGTAAGACCCTGAAAGCCAAACAACAACTCTAAACTGTTTTTAACTAACCAAATCTTAAGGACTATGTTCTAATACAACCCTTCCCATAATTAATTCCAGCTGCATCTGAAAGTCAAGCTGTGGAACAAAATTTTTGTACTTTGTCAACCAAAGTTAATAGGAAAGTGAGTAAACCCTAAGCCAAAGCCTTACTTGAACAAGTAATATGAATGTCCCAAAAATATGTGAAAAGTCGAACCTGATACGAATGGAAGAGAGGAAGTAAACTTTTGCACAAAATGCAACTTAAAAAGCGATCAGAAAACGAACACTTCTTTGTTCTCAACCAGCATTTCGGCATAAATCCTCGGGGAGATTCTATCAATGCTCCATTTTCAAATGACCACATTTGAGAAGACAAACTTCAGATATAAAATAAGAAAATCGGCAATCTAGATGAAGGGGGAATTAGTCTAGCTATTAATCTGCCAGTAACGAAAAAATTGATAAGCAAACAAGCAATGTGAATTAATGCATTTTCCAAATGAAATTATACAATTTAGTGGTAGAGATAAATGCACATCACAATTAATTAGTTATTGACTTGTGGCAACAAACGCTTAATTAGATGTCGACAGTGGAATTGAAGTTATAGCTACGGCAGCCTGGTTCCAAGCAATCATACACGAAGTATACTAAGTATAATTAATGATACCAGTCTGGAGTTCTATTGGGAATAGGGGTTATGCGGTAGAACTTTTTCACAGTTATACCATCGATGCCATTATTGTGATATTGACGATAGAAGGTAAGCCATATACAGCTAATATTTAAAATAATAGGGTGAACATAATTTAATTATTGCTCCTCCCCCTCCCCCCACAGAGTACGAAGCGATTAACTAGCTCACAGGCGCATACTCAATGAACCGCAGAATTCTAGTTAGTCATTAGAAGGGCCCCATGCCGTTACCTCCTTACCTGAGATGAGCTATGGAACACTCACAATTTGGAAATTGATAATTATTGGACTTGAAAATTTAACTCCCTCAAATGCCAAAGCCTAACCCAACTTATTTCATAAAGGGAGTAATTTCTTTCAAGAGATGAACGGTTTCCGGCTTGAATTCATTACTACGTAAACGCCCAAAAATAGTTAAAATTTCAGTAACATAGTCACATTAAACGCATGAAAAAAGTTATCACATGATAAGACTTTCCCATTCATAAGCCCTTCGTTTACCACTCCGACAACTTGAATCATCCCACTTTGCCAATTTCCATTGTAATTTGTTACATGCGCTATGTCTAATTGCTTAGATTCTTTTGAGGTAGGAACGACAATGAAATACAAAAAATTGTTTCAAAGAAGACGATTTCCGGATAAACACAAGCGCGTAAGATGCAATTCATATGGGACTTTATTAGTAATGAAATCACTAATAAGCATGGAGTTTATTCGAAAATACGACGAATGGAAGAGATTTAATGATCTCGATAGGAATTGGTTGAATTGAAAGCCGTACTTAATGATTGAGCTCTGTGGCAGTGACATCATTATCATCACAACCTACATCAAACGCAACACACGTTGTGTTTCGTGTGTTCAAGATGTTGATGAGATAGACTTACCTCCACACGGTGCAACCTGGGCAGGGTATACTCATATGGCAAGATAGTCTACAAATCGGAAATTGACTTCCCACTTCAAACTACCATGGCCCCACTGTACACCAAATTCAACCATCACCACAGCACATTACTTAAATTTTTTCCTCTGCCTTTGTATCTTTCTCTCTTACATCTGTGAATCACTCTACTGCCCCCCTCCTTCGACTTTTTGCGACTTTGATGCTCCTCCCCTCTGTGAAGCTCGAAGTCAACTAAAGGGCTAATGATAACTATCATAAAGGCTACCATTTGATATAAATAATAAACAAGTTTAATATAGTTGAAACGCTAATGATTTGGAATTTACCAACACTGAGTTAAAAAGAAAAGTATTCCGACCCTAGGACCTAACAAATATTATGTTTCGAACGTGATGAATAAATTAATAAAAATATCCAAACATTGCATAAGACTAATCAAACAAATTCAGACAAAAGGGTCCATCAGCTACAGTACCAAATTCAAGCATCCAAACAGCGGCTTTGCACAGAAAGCATAAGCCCTTATTAATTACAATCAGTTAGAATAGTACTTAATCCATTTGTAAACTCAAAACTCGTAAAGGGAGCGAAATGGCATTAAAATATACACACACAAAAAACTTCCAGGCAACCAAGTGACCAACCCTGTTGTTTTACTTCTTCAGTACTCGGCCACCATGGCGCTCGTACTGGAGTAACGCGTGGCAGCAGCAGCAGAACTTGCAGAATATATACATACCAGACAGTCGTCCCAAGCCATATAACCCATACACACACACGAACGCGAATCGAGCCTACAGTGTGTCCACCGCAGTATTAGCTTGGCTGTGCGTGCGTAGTAGCGCACACGGGGACATAAAATGAATACAACATTACTGCAGCAAGAGCAGCATACCCCGCAACTGCTGCAGTTGCTGCCCGTGGATGTAGTTGCAGTAAAGCTGCAATCGCAAAGCTAGGCCAGCTCGGGTGTACGTAAGGGAGGCTTTATTGAGAGAGAGAGAGAGAGAGAGAGAAGTATTGAGAGGGTTTAGAGCCCAAGCCAACAAACATTAAATGAATGAACAGGTAGGAAGAGTGTGCGGACATTTATTTATGCAAATCTAGCGCATGAGCAAGATGGAGGGGGGCATAAAACCAACCAGAGGTTATCAACCCAACACTACTCCCTGGCTGCTTTTTCGGTATTGAGGCGAGGAACAGCGGAAACGGATGTGGTGGGAGTGAGCGATAGTAGCGCAGAAAATCTCCCCACCCAGATTGCATGCTTATCTTTATAGTCAGGCAGATAGCTTAACTTTGATGAGTTCAAAGCTAACGTGGGAATGCAATAGTAGAAGAGTGGGAGCAAAATTTCTTTAATCTAAATAATCATCAACACTATATGTGAGTGTGTGATGTACAAAGCGACAAATCTAACGAGGATTCGCAGTGAATATGAGCTCAACACAAAGGAAATAGTTGAATTCAATTGAACTAATTGGCTTGACGGTACGCAGTGAATTATGGTCGAGGCTACATACTGAGGAAAACCAAAGCAGAAACAAGACCTCCCTCCTATATGTGAGAATAGAAAATCATTAACAGAAAAACGGATTCCGTAAAAGAAAATTCCTGAATTATACTAGATTAAATTCTAGTTTTATAATAATTGTAAAGGACATTAACTTTGAGAATGAGCGTAGCAATGGACTATCTTATTTAAAAATAACATCATAGACTAGAATATTCAAATTCGCATTTAATCTTAATGCTACATTATACTACAAGACGGTATTCATTCCGCAGTTGGCGATTACTGGTGGGATTGGGGACAAATCAAAAACTATGGATTTTGATAAATAAATCAATCATTTAGCATACAATATACAACTCGAACTCAAAATCAAATGACATAACTCTCTTCGAATCTAACACTTCTTCTTTATTACTTGTTACTGAGTTAACGGACTCCAGTCGCTTATCACAAAAAAGGATATTAAATAATAATAATAACAATATAAAATTTTAAAGTTAAAAAATATTAACGTCAGTGGGGATGTTGGATAAGAAACATTAACAGTATACGTAAGTCAGGAAGAGCTCAAACGTTAGAACGTCGTCGGCTTCTACCATCCATTAATATTAGCCATTCGACTTAAAATGTATCTATAGTGGCTCACCAGCCACCAAGATTCATCAACTAACCTTAAAATCTGTATTCCAAGAACGAAGAGAGTAAAACCCAAGTCCAAAGACTAAATTTTAATTGACAATTTGGTGTAGTGATTTTGTTTTATGCTACAAACTCGACAGTCCCCCCCCCCCACATTCTTAAACCCCGTATTTCTTGTGTTCAGATGCCTTTTGCGATGATAAAATGCATAAAATAACCATGGCATGGCTGATAAAGATAAGTTCAATCATGAAAAGCGTGTGATTAACAGATTTGACTGCAACACAGCGCAATGAGCTCAAGCCTACAACTTCTCAAACCTTTTGTGTACCAAAGTGTTGATGTCTTCAATGTGAAGAAAAAGTAGTATTGATTTGCAAATTCCTTGGACTATGGATCAATCTTCACAAATACAAATAAAGTTATTTCATGCTTTAATCTATACGCCAGCGATAACAACAATATTTCCATTTGAAAGGTATTAAGTTTGCATAAACAACTTACTAGGTTTGCGATAGCGCGATGAGCCTGCAGCAGCATCCGCCCCAGCTTTACTGACAGCTACATTGCTGCTGGGATTAGTATTTCCTCCAGAATTCGTCGGTTGGGTTTGAGCAGAAGGAGCATGAAGGGGAGAACGGTTTACACCAACCTCACTATGATTTTCACCGCATCCAGCAGAACGTGATGCAAAGGGACTGTTACGAGAAGGGCGTACTGGAGAGTGGGGTGAGCGACCGCTGCGTTGATGGTAGCCAGCGCCAGCGCCACCACCAACGCCACCACGACGATCTACAGTATAGTCGCGAGAACGTGACAGGCTGGCATCATCGTGACCCAAACGTCGGCCCCTAAAGGCAAGCAAAAAATGAGAGGGAATGACAGGTAGGGGGTATGGGGTAAAGAGTGAAGGGAAACGCCTTATACAAATAATTTGGTACCACTCCGTTCACTAGTTGTACATAGGTAGACATCGAAACAACTGTAACATTCCACAGCACAGACAAGGCATGCTATGGAATATATTGATGTTCCTGAAAGTCAGATTCCTAAATATGATTAAGAATTCCGTTAATTACGTAAAATGCGTGGCTAAAACCAAACCACATCAGCCTTGAATTGAAAACCTTTGCTTCCCTTGCACAAATGGTGTTTAAATCGATGTACTAATCAAATGAAAAACTCCATTTGGTTCTAAGAATTTTACATCAATAACAATACGTTGAGCATCCGCATCATCGAATACGGCTAAGGAGGCACACATTTCTTAGGGTAAAATAAATTAAATCACTAGTAATCATAGTCTATGCAGACAATTCTTCAGATATGAAGATGAGATTGATACAATATACCCTATAATTCATTTCTACATCAACTGATTCAGAAATTGTTTTTGCCACGTTTTATTACGAAAATACGTAGCAACGAAGAGTCTTTAACTCAAACACACTTAATCAAATAGCACACCAGAGGAGCACAAAGGTTTTAAATATCTTAAGACGAGAAAAAGGCACTAAGCAAAATCGTTGACCAATGTTATTTGGAAAGCAAGGCCTCCATGTTTGTAAATTAAATACAAACTTAAGCATTTAAGTTCAACAAATCTTTCGAAAAATTAAAAAATATATTCAAATACATACTGATTATGCCTGCGTCTAGGCGAAATCTGTCGTTCGATTGACCGACGTTTTGATGGGAGTTGTCGTTCATTCGAACGACGCCTTTCACGTGCTGAGGACGCATGAGGCAGTACCTCCATGATGTTGACTTCTTGGCCATCAATTTGTCCCCCATTCATGTAATTAACTGCATCAGAGGCGGCTTTAGAATTGGTGTACTCGATGTAGGCGTAACCTCGATGAAACTCTGGGTGATTGTGGTCTGCAGGCATATCCACCAACTTCACTTGACCCCAGGTCGAGAAGATTTCGCGGATGTGAGCCTGAAGAGCACAAACAAAAGGTTGAATATGTCTGATTAGTATAAAGATCCTCCAATGCGACAGTGATTCAATAATTTAACAACGGCTTCCCACGTTTACGAACTCGAGAATTTATCAATTCTTCGTAAGAGGGAATTTTATACTTGCGTCTTAATGATGAAATAAAATATCGAACAGGTTTCGTTTTCTTTATAGGATATTGTTGTCAAAAAAAGATACATTACAAGATTAAATATTCGTCCCAAATAGGTCAGACTGCAATGAAAGTTACCAATCATTTAAATAAATAGGTACACGGGAAAAAACGCACTGTAAATTAATACAAAAGGTTATCTGATTATCATCACAGTTTAGTTAAGTGTTAATGGAGTAGTACTGATCTATTTCGATTTGCATTAATTCTATATATGAAGCTAAGTAAATATAAAGAAAAGAGATCCAAAGAAATCGTTACTCTTTCAGAAAGAAAGTTTTAAACTTTGTTGTTGTGTCTTGATACAATAATTTATGCGAATATATTGAAATTGAAATGAATACCTGGGTGACATTTCTCGAGAGTTTCGTCACCTGGATTTTGGTGAATTCGGGCAAAGCGATATCCGTGGCTTTCGAAGACTCTTTTACTTCTTTTGAAACTTCAATAGCTGTCAAGTCCTTTATAGACGATTCCGAAGCAATCACCTTTTCTCGACGCTCTTTTTTCTCCTCCCTAATTTCACCATCTTCAAGTGGGATCTTTTTCTCCCCAGCTGGTTCTCGAGTCTTACTACCATTCGTATTGGGCAAGGAATCCCTTTCCGCTTGATATTTAGTCGATGCAGATTCAGTCTTTTTCGCCTCTTCCTTTTCCGACTTCTTGTCTACCGTCGCCTTGCTCTGTTCTCCCTGGGAAAGATCTAAAAGAGAATATACAGCTTATGAGGTCAATCACATGCAAATCTGTGCGCTCACTACACAACCTCCCATATACGAACTTGAGAGCAGGGAGAAAACATCAATAGTTTAACAGAAGAAAACAACCAATGATTATTCAGTAGGAGGGGGGGGGGGGGGGGGGGGGGG